TACATCTCACTGCGTTGATGTGCGTTCTTAATACGTTATGCTCCAATTTTGCCATAAAGACATCTGCTAGAAAGGGTCCCAATGGTGATTCCATGGCAACTCCGTCCATTTGACGATACATCTCCCCGTTTAAGGTGCATCTGAGTAACAATTCTTTCAGAGGGTTTTCCTGGAGATTTATAGGCACAGTCAGTTGCCTTACTAGTTCGCAAACAAATTCCACTGTTTCCAATACCGGATTATTCATAAACAACGACTGAGCGTGAAATGATGACATCCATTTGTTGTTAAGTTTCACACCCTTTCACTTCTCAATGAACTCGAAAGTGTCTTCCACGCAGTGATTGCAGACGGTTTCACGCAGCGGTCCCAGATTCTCAGACATTCATTGAGTTATCAAATGTTGCGGAGAGCTAACCAAATCCAGTTTGGGACGCATTGGAGCGCCCTCCTTGTGTACTTTAGGGAGGCCGTACAACCGTGGTAGATGTCCGCCTGAAGGTCTCAGCTTTTCGAATTCGCACTTTGTGATAACATTCGCTTTCATCATTCGTCTGCGCAAACCGGTCATTATTTTCCAACTCTTCTGTATTATCCATTCCTAATGTTAGCTTTTGAAACTTACGTTCATCACTAAGAAAATGTTGCATCTTACTAACATAATCAGTTCTATCTACTAGGACTATACCGGAACCATTATCCGGCTTAGAGATATTTAACTCTGTTTAACCATAACTCTATAAGTGACTGCATTTGTTCACTTGTAAAAATACCACTACTGGCTGGTCTTGCCTTAATGTAATCATGACAGGGGTTTACTAAGCTGGATAACATCACCGAAGAATTGCAGAGGATGGGTAACGCTCTAAGAGCGAATGGTTATCCACCCAAATTCATCCTAGAACGTTTGAAAGAACGCGAGATAAAACCACCGAGGATGAACGTATCCAATAAAGAACTATTTATGTATTTTGCTTTCAAAGGCGACAGTGCGGCTGATGCCCTGTCCAAACGCCTGAAAGACGCTGTTGAAAAGATTTATTTCGCGGCTCGCTTACGCATAATATACTACAAGCCTTTATTCGCAAAACCTTTGAAAGACAAGCTGCCACCGGTGACTCGATCAGTGCTTGTTTATCTGTGTACTCGTGCTCCTCTGGTACATGATACCGGGATGGTGCTACGAGGCGCCTATCTCATATGATTCGCGAGTACATTCCGGTATGGTTTTACAAAGCCAAATCGAGGTCTATTAACAGCTCCATACTGTCGCAACTTCTAGAGGGCGGTCACGCAGGGGACAGAAAATGATTTCAAACTCCTCTATACTATCCCTGAACGTTTCTCGCGCTGATTCCGGAATCATCTCCTGCCTATTGCGGAAGCTATTTACATAAGCCAACTCAAGCCGGAATTGTGCGTACCAAAACAGTTTGTACGTGCTTTACTTCTACAGTGGAGTACAGCTTCTGCTATGATTATGCCTGTACATAATTTGGCACCTTCAAGGATCCTGTGATTTATTGATTGGTTCCCGTTGAAATCATACATTCCGATCAATGCGCAGCCCAATCCGGCTTATTTAGCCCTTTGTCGTCATTATGTAATGTTTGGGTCTGATGGGAATTACCGAAAAGAATTCTTTACTCATATACTGTCATCTTTGGTACATTCAATTAAATGGGCATTTTTGGATTGCTGAAGATCAACATTCCCCGTGATTCGGTCATACTGCGAAGCGTTCATGCTCATTTTAAAAGGGTTCCCATGTTGTTACGCTTCTGAACTGCCGGATGATTGTTGTCGTAGTTGAGGATCTGATCTATATGCTTTGCTTTTCTTTAGACTGTCGTTTTCAGTGGTCTAGAACCAGTTCTTCCTATTAGAACGCCAAAGGATAAAAAATGAAATAATGTGTTAGCTGTACGCCGCAACGGTCCCTCGCTGTCGTGTGACCATCACCAGTCAAACGCGGGCTGAGTATATCTCGATGACGCCCACCCCTACAGAGGGATTGGAACCTGCGCCGCAAGATTACGAGACTAGCTCGTTACCTCTAGGCTACGGGCCTAAGAGTGCTAACTGCCCTTTGTCCTCTTCTTCCCTGGGGAACCGGGCAAATTTGAATGAATAGTTAATCAATTCCTGTGGTTCATCAGACTTAGAACTCTTCGGAATGATGGAAGTATCGTCTATATAGTCTATCCAATGTTTCACTTTCGCAGTTGCGAGTGCTATCCGATAGTCCTGTGGACGTATTACTGTTATTTCCGGGAATTCCCCGACACGGAACCAATCGGGTTGGTAGACCACCCATGGAAACTTGGCCATTGAAGTACAGTTTTTGCATTCTTATACTCGGCTTCGTTGAGGTGCTTCTCGGTCTTCACAATCTGTCACTAACCTGATTGAAGAGCTCCTTTGGAAGTACTCCTTGTGTGAATGGATTGCGTCGCGCAATCTCAATGTGGACCGTGACTCACATTGAAGTGAAACCTGGACGAATTCGATCACCGGGACCGTAAGTGATGGAGGGGATGGACAATCGGTACTGGCCGTCCGCAAATAGTGCACTCCATGGCAGGTAGAGGCAGCAGTCCTCGAAACCGGTGCCATTGAAATGTTAGTTCAAATTTCCACTGTTTCAGCCATCAAGTTACGACGGGCAACACATGTCACAGCGCTCATTGATCGATTGGAGGGGTCATTTAGAAGCACTCGCTATACGAATGAATTGCGACACGCACTCCCAATGTGGACCGCGATTCACATCGAAGTGCAGCTTGGCCAATTCGATCAATGTGACTGCAACTAATGAAGCAGGTGGATGTTGAGTTTTGTCCGCTTGAAAACGCTGCTGTCCGCGCGAGTAGAGATTGCCAACTTCGAACCCTTGAATATTGGGATTTTAGCCGGAACCTTTATACCTAAGTCACCGAGTCACAACGAGTAAGTAACCATATACATCTGCTGCATCAGTGACGATCCTAGTGATCGAACTGATTGATGCGGATTGCGGTCAATGCTTGGCCCAAGGCCTGTGCCTTACACAAATTCGCCGAGGTTAGACAAATGTCCTGACATAATTTTGAAACAGTAATAAAATAAAACGCAATATCTGGTCGGAATCGCTTGCAAACGTGTGAGTATGCGGTGTTGGTTTGTCATATTATGTGATATTGCACCTCGCTTATAGGTGTCGTAAACTTGAGGGGATCCTCTCATGGTAGACACACACAAATCGGATATGTCAAGTTTGCTGAACCCCAGTGCCGAAACGTGCTTGTCAGAGGCTGGAAATAGACGACCTCAGTTGTTAATGATTATCGCATGAGGCACGATATTTAATGTCGTAGAAAATTCCGAGCGTACAAAGCGGGTTATTGCTTCCACATGAGCACCTACACCGTATTTGTCAATTTTTAGTTGGTAGCTACGGGTAAGTCTGTAGCTGTCGCATATTGACACGTCCATTACGTGTGCAATGGAGTTCTTGATGACGATTATTTCCGGCTTGATGTACGTTGACGCCGCTGGGGTGCCGGGCTCCGGGATTATTCGGGCTGCTTTACGACGAAGGGTCTTGGTTAGTTGCTTCATGATATCGTTGTGCCTCTTACAACGAGCATTGTGGCTTAATGCACAGAACTGCTGGATGTGGTAAAGTGTTTCGCTTTGTGCGCAAGCGCCCTGGCAGTGACGATCTGTTGGGTTTGGGGGTTGGTCATCTTCTGGAGCATCGAGATTTGTCCACAGCACCCCTGCTGTATGTTGCGTTTTTCAAATGTAGAGTCCGGGGAAAATTCTCTCCAAGATTTCTTATCTAGTTATGAGACGATTACCCCAAAGATGGCCAGCCCGATTGAGTCATGAACAACAAAGACGTCGGGGGCGTTATTGACAGCTCAGAAAAGGTTACCTATTTCTCTTAATACACGAACAAACTAAATATACAGACGGCTGTGGCTAAATCTTGGGCCCTATTCAAACTCGAGAAATGAGCAAAGTCCGATAATCTTTCCGCTCTACGTTTGTCAGTGCTCTATTGGTTACACAAAAGTATGTATTGCGGCGCAGTAGCTGAGGTGTTTCCCACCTCTAGTTAGTATGCATAATGATGATGATGATGATGAGGCGCAATCCAATTTACGAAGAACCTGGCTTTTGTATCGAACGTAGATCTTTGTTGTTGTAATTTCAAACAATGGCTCCGCAAGGGTGGTCTGATGTAGTAGCTGCTTCAAAGAGCTTAGTGGGCCTGAGACCCCTCATGATTTTTCATGTCTCTCTATTAAGTCCACTCTCAATCTGCGTGTCTCCTTCTTGAAATAAACCTAAGTTAGCTAACCCATGCTAGCCATGCTACCATTCGGGTGACCAGGCTGCACATTCTCAATATACTTGATACCTTTCTGCAAGTGGAGTGTCCAGGTCTGAACACAGTATTCTAAATGTGGTTTAACCACTGCTATATACAAATGGAAAACTCAATCTTGGTACAACTCAGCCCTCTTGAGCCGAAATAACTTGTCATGTTTTGCTAGCAACACACTTACAGTGCGCCGACGGCTTGAAGTAATTCGTCACGATGATAACGTAATCCGAAGTGGGTTGATACTGCCACGAGAGGTGAAACACGAGGACAGGTGTCAGGTTCCGAAATGTCAGTCTCATCGATTGTTAGGAACCTACTGAATACAGGTCATCCAGTTGACCAGGACTTGACGTTTGTGGTTATCTATCATCATCATCAGTATACACGTTAGCTGCAGGTGGAAAACACCTCAGCTACTGTGCCGCAATACAAAAGATAAGAAAAGGAAAACAAACAGTGACACGCCGGCTGAGTCCCCAGTAACGGATGGACATCGTTCCGCAAAGCTAACAGCTGGTTATCGTGCCGTAAAAAGAGAGTTATATTATGCCTAACGAGTGAGATTGTGATTGGAGGGGATGCTAAGCAGGAGGGGGATGGACGACGGAATTCACAACACAAACGCCATTGGGGCCGGCTCCAAGCCATATCAGTAAGTGTGTTCACCCAAACGTGTTCACCGTCCTTAGGACCCCAGCAAGACAGTCGGGATGCACCAACCGACGCTATCCTCGAGGAGAGGGTTTTCATCTTTCTCGACCAAGTCATCGCTTGGTCTCCACTCCTCCTCTTCCAACCGCACTGACAACGCGCAAACAATGCACGCCGCGGGAGTCGGTGTGCTGGAATGCGCAACACGTGGCCCAACCATCGGAGCTTGGTGCGTGATATAATTTTGCTGAGCGGTTCACTCGCTCTTCCTGCACCAAATACGCGACGTCGAACACGGTCATTGCTCACGCGGTGTTCCCACCAGACATGAGCTAAGCTTCGAAGGCAGCGATGATCGAATATGACGAGCCTCTTTATGTCTGTGGACCTGGCGGGCCAGGTTACACAGCCGTATAGGAGAGTTGAACGGACGACTGCGTTGTAAACTCTGCCGTTCAGGGCGAGAGTAATGTCGCGTCTGCGCCACAGGTGGCGGAGATTGGCAAAAGCACCTCGAGCTTTTGCTATACGGTTCGTAACCTCATCTTCAATCCCACGGGTGCTAATATAGCTGCCCAGGTACTTGAATTCCTGAACGACTTCTAGCAGATCACCACCAAGCGTTAGCGCAGGTTTGGGTCCCTGCCAATCTTGGAGAAGTACTTTGCATTTCGATGGAGCGAAGCATAGTCCAAAACGATTGACAGCCAGTGCTAATGGGTCCAGTGCTCTTTGGCATGTTTGGGGGCTGTCACAGATTAGGGCAATATCGTCCGCATACTCTAAGTCAAGAAGTCGCTCACCAGGAAGTAGCTCCACACCATCTAGGTCGTGTCCAGCGAATGCTGTTTCCATGACTTCATCAATGTCGAAGTTGAAGAGGAAAGGTGACAGTGGACAACCTTACCTCACACGGCTGGCGATACTGGTGGTTATCTGTCACAATCTAAACTCCAAAATACTGAAGCTCGCCGAGCCCCCTGGCCATTGATCCCAATCATCCTGACCCATGTTCGCAAAAACAGCTGACTCTCACACTCAAGCCTCTTTGTGGGTCGTGACATTTGTTTCACAACTTGTGCATCTGCTATCGCCTGTGCCGTTATATGCCTCCTCTTCCTTTCTGTGAACATACCAACTATTGATTCCATTCCCTCATAGATCGTTTAGTATGTTACTCGTTTGCATGTGATCGGCCAGCATGCATCGATGTAATCTTGCAACACCCGACTTCCCACAGTATTGTTTAGAACTTTCTTCACTTGTTTCTCTTAACGCTCACCTGTCTCAACATAAGTGTAAGCAATTCCTATACACTCCAACCGCTCTGTTTCCATCATTTCGCATCAGGCTGGTCGTTCCGCCTCATTGTTCTGATACATCTTTCTGCACATTTTTCCTTTAGGCCTAACTACATGCGAAATTCCAGGTTTCGAAGTTCGCATGAACACTGTATGCGGTGAATCCTCCGAGGAACATGATGATGATAATTCATCACACGAGAGTAGTGTCAAATCGAACTGTGGAAACCGATCTCGATCACCCAACGACGATCACCCTTGTAACGGCGGAATCGGTTCAATCACTTCGGAGGACGATCCTGAGAAACCAGGTATTTCTCTATGCTTGTGATTTCTCTTCATTTTTGTTCTCACTCTTGCGATTTTACCTAATCACGAACTCACTTTGGTAATAGCTAGTCGCTTAAATAAACTGAAAAGCCGGCCACAATCTTGCGGACCAATCAGGTTCTGCGACTGCAAATGTGTCAGGCGTGTGTGGTACCGGATAACTGAACGAAAGCTAGTTGGTAGCAAATAGCCAATTGGCCAATCCAGTGCGCGCATCGACGAGCCAGAGAGAGGAATCGCGGTCGGCTTAGTGGCGGATCCGCCTGGCCGGAACACCCACATGCAGACGAGGTAGGCACAACGAAGCATACAGACAAAGCGGAGCTGCCATACTCAACCGTGGCTCAAGGCGAGTGAACAAAGAAAGAGACAAGTCGTGCGTGCAACCAGTGGACGCATAATAACGCAGGACTCGCATACAGTAGTAAACAATATTAAACGATGCCCTGATTTTGCGATAACAGACTCTGGTTATTGCCCAGACTTTCTTTTGACTTTCCGAGGGCTACGCGGCACTCACGTTTCTCGTATTGTGATCATTCCAGTTAAACTATTCATATACACTCACCTTAGTGCGCCGGGTCTAGTTGACTTGAATTATATCCTCAGGGCGGTGGTAGCGACGCGATGTTGTTAAATACCACGAAGCATTCGGAGCAAAAGTAGGTGTGAAAACTTTACGAAAATCCTACATGCTGATCAGGTTGGAACGTTAACAGATACTTGAAAGAGGAAGAACGCAGTAGCATGATCAACTCCGTGACCGTTCCATGTCGCACACATCTCCAACCACCAATGGCATCATTCCAAAGGCTGGCGCTCAGCAAGACGGCGCATACTAATCGGATCAGATTTTACAGTCAACTTCGTGTTGTGCTGTTTAGGCGAAGAGACTGGACCAGTGAGCGGATGGCCATTGAAGTACGGCTGGTACGAACTTGCCAGAGGGGAATGTTTGTTCGGCCCAACGCGAACAAAGCGCAGCTGGATTACATGCACGTCGGCAATTGACAACGCCAAAGGTATCGGAAACTCCTCAACTAGGTAAATGGAAAAGAGGTTGGGTCACTGAACTGGAAGCGAATCAGATATCGCGAAGATTGTCCAAACTTTTTCAACACCTGCGCTTACTTCATTAGTTGTGCGTTCATTGTTGCCGATGCAGTTGCCAGTGTAAGTGAATTGATCAACAACCTCGAGTTCTTCGCTATCAAATGACCGGTAGTTCTGCGATAACACATCCCATGTTGTAGGTGAAATGCATACTGTTGGCTGCATCCGGTCTGGGATTTGCCTGTCACTGTGACCAGCCACAAGACGCTTGCGCCTACAGAGGGACCATATATATATATATATATATATATATATATATATATATATATATATATATATATATATATATATATATATATATATATATATATATATATATATATATATATATATGGGTTGCGCGTCAGAGTCGTACTGGCTTTAACACTTTTAAGTGAGGTTCTTCGCAGCCAATCGTCCACATGCCCGGAAAAGCACTAGATTGCAGTTTCAGCCTGTTGGGCATCGTCAGTAGTGCGCATCCATCGGACCCATCGGGATTCGAACCCATGACCACCAGTGGCTTGAATCGCCAGTCAGCAGCTTATGCCATTGGGCCACGGGGGACAGCTTCGGACCGTCATGATTTGCAAGCTAACTGTGATATAGCGCGCCTTATCCTTCACTGCCATGCAAGTTACGAAGGTTGCAGAGGGTTGGCCCCGAAAGACACGACGTCCACTAACAGTAGCCATGTACGACATAGCATTTAGAAACTGTCACTTTTAATTGACAAACTGAAACCCCAACATTTGTCCACGCATCCGTATGTACTGCACTCACAAACAGAGAGGCCGAATATTCAGTCCATCTTTTGTGATCTATGCACCGAGATGCAGCGTACCCATTTACGTTGTTACGCGCTTTCCATTAAAAGGATGCTTTCAAAACCGGGAAATTGAGAGCGTTCAGGAAAGGGGTAATTCATGTGGAGTAGACTTTTATTGATAGTGCAGCAGCTTCCAAGTCAGAAAGCCTTTCTTGAATCGAGTCTCATCAGTAGTGCCATTCCGCACGCTCTACCGGGAACCTAAATCATGCTGTGCCGTGCTTAGCTGTTGTTATGTGAATGCTTAACCGCGGGGGCAGTCCTGTCCTTTGCAAGCCTCCTAAGCTGCATGGTAGTGGGGGAGGGGTGCTGCGCTATGTCGCCGCTAGTTAGCAATTCATTACGTTCCGTAGCCATCACTCGTAGCCTAATGACGTGAGGCACTGGGATCGAAGGTCGTGGATTGGGTTTCTGATAAAACCGATGGGTGGTCACTAAGAGTCCCAAAGAGACCAGGCGGCTGTCTAGTGCTTTTCTGGATATGAGATAGGCTAACCGACCCGAATGGACTCTCGATAACAAATAAAATTACAGAAGTCAAAGTTGGATTATGCAAGGTTATCGTTGACGCAGTGGCTTTTGTATCTGATTCCGTGGCTCTCCATTTATAAAGATAGCCATCAACCCCACCCGGACTGTGGGCAAGCTTTGTCGACTACCCACCCTCCAGATTTTACCCATCTAGGTGCACCTCAAGATAGCCAATCGACAGATACGCAACGAACATCATTTACCTAACACACATTCCTGTTCAACAGATGCCCCACCGGTCTTCCTGATATTTTGCTGTCAAACACCGGTTGATGAACTCCATCTCACTTTTCGTTCGTGTTCCCATCATGCGTTTTAAAACAATACCTCGACACAGCGTCGGTAGTCAGACAAGGTCAAACTCTAGATGATTGTTTATGGCTGTATCGTCTCCGATTATTTTCTGTGAAAAAACGCACGCTCCTCTTCAGCTATCCGACCAGCAGGTGGGCTATGGCTCATCATTATACACGTTAGCTAGAGGTGTAAAAAAAACACCTCAGTTATTGTGCCGTGCTACATAAAAGAAAATAAATAGAACAGTTGTATGCCAGCTGAGCTACCACCAGCGAATGCGCATCGTTTCGGAAAGCCACCAGCCGGCTACTAGGCAACAGAAAAAAGTATGATGTAACATTATGTTACGCTATGAAATGAGATCGTGATTGGAAGTGGAGGTTAAAAGGGATGGGGATGGACAAAGAAACTCATAGCAGGAACACCACTGAGGTCGGCTTCTAGCCATGTCAGCAACTGTATCTAGCTGGACGTGTTCATCGTCTTTTGAAACCCCGAACAGGTAGCAGTGGAGCTCTAACCAAGACCAGCTCCGAAGTGAGGGCCTTCTTTCCTCTCGACCAAATCATCGCTGGTCACCCCTCCTCTTCTTCCATCCACACCCCTGGCGCGAAAACAACGCACGTCGCTGAAGTCGGTGAGTTGACATGCACAATACGTGGCCGAGCTATCGGAGCCTGGTGCGTGAAATGACGGTGCTGAGCGGTTCATTTCCTTTTCCTGTGCCGTAAACAAGGCGTCAAACACGCTCGTTGCTCACGCGGTGTTCCCACCAGATGTGAGCCAAACTGCGAATGCACCGATGGTCGAACGTAACTGGCCTCTTTATGTCTGTTGATCTAAGGGGCGAGGTTTCACAACCGTACAGTAAAGTCGAACGTACCGCTGCATTGTACACTCTACCCTTCAGGGCGAGAGTGATGTCGCCCACCACCATAGGTGGCGAAGGCCTGTTTGCCGATTAGCTACTGTGAAAGTTTTTCTCTGATATTGAAAAGCAATGGAGTCTTTACACATCCCTGTGGCATTACTTTGCACTTCTAAGCTTTAAATCTACATGTCGAAGCACACTGTGCTGACATAGCAGCAATGTCTGGTCCGAACGAGAACAGTGTCTCCTGCCTACTTCAGCTTTACCGATCAATGTGTTACGGAACGTCATAGTGAAAAAGTGAACAAAGTCATTCATACACTTCGGCCACGATGTTGAAGAGCGAACGGATCACGTGGACATGGTTCGGTCTGTCGCAGACCCATTCTTATCATTGTAGCGGCCTTGTCTGATTGGAAAATTCAACTGGAATTTATACTATCGATTGGCACTTGGACTGTACTTCTCTGATCATTCTAATGACCCCTCATCGTGGTTGCGAGGACCGCTCGTGCACCGAGCCATCTCCTTAAAACAGCCGGATAATATGATCGCCCTCTTACTCCCTCCCATGTACTTACCGTAGTAACGGTTCCATTCTCTGTACGCTCACGCCCTTGTCCAGGGGTTCGCGCCTGATATATACCTCCATTTCCTCACTAACCATATTTAACCCCAATTAATTTTACCAATGATTAGGAGGATTTTGTAATCGCAATTGTAATGTTTTCGTCCCAGCTGCTCACAAGCGACATAGCACAGCCTAGTCCGGCAAAACATCGGACGCGTTTCGCCCCAATGGGGCTCGTCCGTGGTGCGCCTTCCCTCCTTCCCCTACTGGGGATCGAACTCATGGCCGCTAGAGGCAGATGCCAACTAGCCAGCAGCTTAAGTCACAGAGCCACGTGGGACGGCAGCTGGTTTAGATATAATTTTCAAACTAACTGCGACAACGCACGACCTATCTTCCACTGCCACGCAGGTTACTAACCTTGCAGATGACAGTGGCTAGCCTCCGGGTCTTGGCTTCCTCTCACTAGACGTCTAATGGGAGGATGTCATGACCTTCGGAGGCTAGGCACTGTCATCTGATAAGGAAGATAAGTCGTGCTATATTACAAATTGTGTAGCCCAGCCGACGTCCCCCATGGCTCAGTGGCTTAAGCTGTTGGCTAATTGGCATCCGCCTCTACCGGTCATGGATTCCAACTCCCGTAGGGGACGGAGGGAATGCTCACCACTGAAAAGCCCCAATAGGACGAAACGCGTCTGGTGCTTTTCCGGATTGCGGTTGTGGTATTGGCCAAACTATTTAAAAAATTTTCAATCAGCAACTTTTTTCATCTTTCATCACATATCTC